GCATTTCTGTTCATCTTGTAGAAATTTAACGTAGGCTAATAATAGTTCAATAATCATAATTTACCTTGTATAACTTGCTTTCAATTGCTCAAAATCACCGATCAGTCTTTAAAGTAGAGATACGGAAAAATCCTTGAAAGAATATCCCAAGATCCTTGGGTTTAAAGCTAAAAAAATATAAAAACAGTTAATATATTACCTATTTTTACCTATAATATGGCCCATACCTGCTACACGCCGAAACGTCGATTTCATCATTTTCTTCATGTAATTAATATCATATATACTTTATTAAAGTGTTAACAAGGAACTTTATATCAAAAAACATCTTTGTACTTATAAATTTCAGCCGAAATATCAGAAACAAACTTCCAATCAAATCTAAACGGCAAAAATTAAAATGGCGCCCGACCTTGCCAGAGGCCTCCTGGAGCTGACGCTGACACACAGACAAAAGACAAAGAACAGGACGCCGACGTGCATAAAAATGTTCCGTAGCAGAAATTGACAGAAATCATATAGAAATATTCAGATTTTTGTCTAGGACAGTCTAGAAGGCCATGCTTTCTGCCTGGGTAGAACCGCGCCACAACTGTTTCCAATTTTCCGGTTTACTGTCACCCCCCTGCGTTTAATAGTGTGAATCATAGATAAATGCAACAAGTTTAGATTGGAAAGCCCGTAAAAATTTTAGGTCGCGAAATTATTTTGGGTCGTGACCGTTATACGCGATCTGGCGCTGCTATAACGGTCGCTAAGAACAACGACAAACAAAAACAGAAATAATTTTCTCTTGTCAAAGTCAGAATCTTCAAAAATCATAATAATCTTTCAAAATCCAAACCGCTCTCATTTAAGAAATTCCGAAAAGTGTTTATAGCGTCGATTTTCAAAGTGATAATTGCTATCTTGTGAGTTTAATTCAAGTTTTATTTACTCTACCGGTGATAATTGTGAAAAGTGGCATTAAAAACTTAAAAAAGTGTGCTGTGAACTGTGAACTGCAAAAACCATCGTGGATCGTGGCATAACGTCGGTTTCCAATGTTTTATAGGTATTTCATACATGCGTCCTTATATTAAATAAAGTTTCTTGTATGCAACACAATGTCTTTTATTTATAAAATTAAACTAAAATAATAATAAATTTGAATAAACAATTATTTGGCGATATAATTCCGGAAAAAGCCGAACCGCTCCAAAATTTTCAAAAGTTTTGGGTCGCGACCGTTGCAAGAATAGCGCCAAATAGTGTTTACATTGTCCTTATGGGCACTTTCCAATCTAAACTTGTTTCATTTATCTATGGTGTGAATACAATCAAATTATATGAAGCGGATATGAGACGGAAACGGAATGTATAGTAAGAATCAACCTTAAATCGGCAACGCATTTTAGTAATAAAAATGGAATTTCAAATTAAAAATCAAAAAGTCAGAATTAAACATTCTGATTTTTTGGTTTTGAAGACATTAATCGATGTTTTGTCAAAGCAAAAATAAAATAAATTTTAAAAACAAACACAAAAAATAAAGCTACACAATACCAACAGTAAATAATGTAATAGTATATTACGTTACGAGTGTTTTGGAAAAAATAATATTACGCACGAGTGCAGTATTCCATGAGTACGTAACATGGTTTTCCAACACAAATTACGTACACTATAAAATTCAAAGCTGAAACTATTAAATGTCAACAACTTTTGATGTTTAAATGGCATCCTCGGTATTTTTTTTACGTTATTCAATAGAAAATGACACTCTGAGTAGAAAAACATATCATATGTCAACTTTTAACAGGGTTTCACATATGATTTATTTGAAAGTGTAACACGCGGTTTATAACGACAATTTGACTCGAAATACCAAGTGTGTGGCATGAAATTATTTGTAAAAAAATACTTTTTTCAAATATACTAATGAGCCACCCTCTTTCCATTTGAAAAAATTAAGATATGATAAAAAAATACCATTTTTCAATCTTTTAACCAGCCAAGACAAGACATGAAAAACATTAGACGATCAAATATATTTTTCCCAGGACTCCTTGATTAAAAATTATTGTTTTTAAGACAGCCATGACACTCAATATGGAAATTTTAAAAGATTTTTTTAAGCTAGAATGCCAAAAGTTGACATATAATATTGTTACGTTTTTCGTCGGTTCCGTGTGGATAGAAAGTCACAATTTATTTAAACACTATTTATTTAACACTAATTAACAAAAACAATAACGATAAAAGACTTATAGAACTATTTACAAACGATTTATAACTAAGAATTTATTTTGAATTTTAGCGCGTCAACTGCACTGGTATATTTATAACTGCCCTCTCTAGGCCACTGCCGCCGGCTTTTATACCGACAGGTAAAAGAAATCTAGAATAGTCCATAGATCGTTAGGCGCATAGAGAAGGTTTTCGAATGTTCTCGTATGTACTAGTCCATTCTAGTGGGTCTCGATTCTTCTCGAACGAATGAATCACTGCGGTGTCTATGCGATGTTAAGGTCATCCGAGGGCGGCCATATTGTGAGGTTAGGTCGAGTCCACACCGGCTCGCAACAATATGATATGTCATTCTATTCAAGTGTCAAAGTGTCGTTTTTTTATCTGAAAAAATAAAAAAGTTATAGGGGATGAGCCACTTTTGAGACACACCCGGTATATGATTTTTCGTGTAAAAAAATAAAGTGTTTTTGAATAATTCTAATTAGATATTTCAAATAGTTTTTTTCCAGTGGCGAAAAGCTCAATATTGTTTTATAAATTATTTATTAGTTTATTATAAAAAAAGCATAATTATTTTTATTTTTAGAAAAATTAAAAATAATTATGCTTTTTTTTATAATTAACTAAGGCTAATGTGATCAGTAACATTTTGCAATGAAAATTAAATTATCACTTGAAAAATAATTGCGTATGCATGCGAGACCACTCTGTAATAACGCCAAAATCAGAGTAATACGCCGAACGTGAGCCGCCGTGTATGCTGGGTCCAAAGTCCACACACCAGTAATACACTGGGAAACACGTGCGTGAAGCGGCTTTTGATACCTGCCGCCGGCACAAGTGACGGAACTTATATTTTATTCTGTAAACTTTGACCAAACTAACAAACATGAGATATTTTTATTCTAACGCTATAAAATAATATTTGGAATTATTTTGCGCGGCACTGTCTTTACGCTTCGTCCAATGTGGGCGACAACAGCGGGCGATGAGCTCGATGCGCGCGACCTATTTGAATCGCCTTCGATGCCGCTTCAGTCGTGCGTTTGTCCTACCTAGGACAGCTTCGTAAGAAAACGTTGTTTGATAAATACGCGTCGCTCGCACCGCCCGAATCGCGCGCTTTTGTCTCCCACGTATGACGAAGCGTAACCCCGAGGAGACTTTCACCAGCAAAAAGTTGATGACGCTCCTGGCTCCTTCTTAAAATGCGCTCGCTCTATGTATTGTACGAGGCATGTTTTTTAAGTAAGTACCGTTTTGGAATTAAAAAAAAAACGTGCAAAGATATCGCAATAATTTTATTTTTACATGAAAGCCTGTACCTTAATCTACTTTTCTACATAATTTCCGTGAATATTGAGGCACTTGTCTCAATATTCGCGGAAATTGTCTCACGTGGCACCAGTTTTTCCAAACCAAACCAAACCAGTTTTTCAATACCCTCCTCATAAAATTCTGCCGCCTGACTGGTTAACCACTGTATCACAACTGTTTTGACTTCGTTATCGTCTTGAAGACGCTGACCACCCAGGTTTTTCTTCAAGTGCAGGAATAAATGGTAGTCACTGGGCGCCAGATCAGGGCTGTATGGAGGATGATCTAGAGTTTCCCATTTAAAAGATTTGATGAGATCTTTGGTCCGATTAGCCACATGTGGACGGGCATTGTCATGCAGCAAAACAATACCTTTACTCAACTTGCCACGTCTTTTGTTTTGGATTGCACGGCGCAGATTGTTCAATGTCTCACAATAAGATGCTGCATTGATTGTCTCATTACGAGGCAGAAACTCCACTAGCAATACGCCTTTTCTGTCCCAAAAAACTGTGCACATGATTTTCCGAGCAGAAATTGTTTGCTTGAACTTCACTGTTTTGGGTATTGATGAATGTCGCCATTCCATGGACTGTTGTTTCGATTCTGGTGTGACGTAGGCCACCCATGTTTCGTCACCAGTAACAATTTTGTCTAAAAAATCTTCACCTTCATTGTGGTACTGCTCAAGGAAAGTCAATGCACTGCCTAAACGTTGGGTTTTGTGCAAATCCGTCAACATTTTCGGAACCCAACGTGAACACAATTTCCGGTAATTCAAGTTCTCGGTCACAATGCGATACAAAACACTACGAGAACATTGAGGAAAGTAGTCGCACAATGATGAAATTGTAAAGCGTCTGTTTTCTTTCACCTTTTCGTCCACTTTCTGCACCAAATCTTCATTAACGACCGAAGGACGCCCACTCCGTTCTTCATCATGCATATTTGTGCGGCCATCTTTAAATGCTTTCACCCATTTCCTTACCATTCCATCACTCATAATGTTTTGTCCGTAAACTTCACAGATCTCACGATGAATATCGATCGGTTACGCCTTTCACTAAGAAATCGTATGACAGCCCGTACTTCACAATCGGCGGGGCTCACGATTGTCGGAGGCATCTTAAACACTCAATAAACGACGTATACAATGAAGAATCAGACTGTACTGGCGTCTGTGCATAGACAAGAGATGTAGGTAACCAGCGCGCATGCGCGGAACGCCGACCGTAGCGCTGCGGCGGCGGAATCGCAAAACGGTACTTACTTAAAAAACATGCCTCGTACTAAGTTCCAAATTCGATAAAAATAATAAAATTGTGGTCTGTGCAATAATTCCGTTGTCAGCCAGTGAATCAAATTTTATGAAGAATAATTCGCATATTGTTAGATTGAATTGTCCGAAACGGATGCATGTATAAAACTGTTAAGAAAAAACGGTGTTGCAGGAATTTGTCACACTTGCGGAGAGAAAGTAACTGGTGCAGGTCAAGCTTGCCAGGCAATGGGTAATCTTTACCATACAAATTGTTTTATTTGCTGCTCCTGTGGAAGGGCTCTACGAGGAAAAGCTTTTTATAATGTTCATGGACGGGTCTATTGTGAAGAAGATTACCTAGTAAGCCCAAATGACAATGAAGTACACAGTTTTTTATGTTTTACTTTTCTTTTTATCGCGGACATCAACAAAATTTCATATATCAAATGGTTATAATTAAATTAAGAGACATGAATTCAAATATTTAAGATAATTACTTTAGAAAGATTTTATTTATGAGTTGATCATATTTTTAGTTCTATCTGAAATACTCTCCCAAAGATTTTTTGAACGTTCTACACTTGATTTAGTTTGGCTAGGCCTTCACCTTATATATCCATCTGTTTTTATCTGGGATTTTCCAAATCCTACTTTTTACTAAATTTGCAAAGACTATATTAGGCAAATATCTTGTTTCCGCGATACGTCAGGCTTTAAATGTATTGTTTCCGTTTTCTTCTTACGAGAACTATTTAATCTGACGGCATATCCGTCAATGTTTGCAACCCTAGATAAACTACTGTGTTGCTATAATTAACCATGTTGCAACCTGTTTTATTTGTACCATGCGTTGATGTCTTGATGCGTGATGAGTTGTCTTGTAAATCAAAATTGCTATAATTTTATATGTAAAATTTGTAAAATCATTGATAATCGTGATTTCAAAGCCAATTTGGGCTCATTTTTTTCGATCGTGTATTTGAAGGCGGTAGAATTTTTAACGAGTTCAGTTTAATTTGCTAGTCATGGTCCAACCGTCCTTCAGTAGTCATTTTACCTGATATTACATAGGGACATAGGATAGAATGACCTTTATTGCTAATATGCAGATTATATACCGATTTGGTCATCGAAACTGTGCGGTCTGGATTTTAACATGTAAGACAGTGATGTACACAGCTCAATGGAAAACCAAATATATTAAAAAGAGATAAAAATTTGGTCGACACATTTCTTTTTGTAGGTCTTCCTCTTTTCCTTCTGCTTTGGGGACGATACTCCATTGCCCTTTTTGGCCATCTTTCCCCTCCCATTCTTTTTACGTGCTCATACCATAGTAGCTGTCTCGATTCGATGTTGTCGGTGCTGGTATATATTCGCCTTGTTCTTTGCCTGATCTCCTCATTTCTAATGTGTTCCATCCTTGACATGCGACATGCTCTTCTGAGAAAGTCCATCTCCACTGACTCGACCATCTTTCTTTTGCTGTAAATTGCCAGCATTCGGCACCGTATGTTAAAATTGGATCTACGATTGCTTTGTAAATCCTTATCTTTGTTTGGATGGATGTTTTATTTGACCACAGGAGAGGGTTTAAAAGACCGATTACTTTCTTACCTTGTTGAACTCTACTATGTATATATTTCTTGGAGTTCCCTTCTTCAGATATAATACTTCCTAAATATTTATATTCGCTACATCTTTTAATTTCATGTATGTGTAGTTCAGGATCTTCAGTTTGTTCTTCTCCTACTTTCAGGTATTCGGTTTTTATGAGGTTGGTATTGAGTCCCCATCTGTCGTATTCTTCCTCAAGTTTCCTCAACATATAGTCGGCATCCTCCTCACAACCTGCAACAATAACTTGGTCGTCTGCAAAGAACAAGGTCGATAGACAGTGGTTGTCAATCTTTATTCCCATAGCTCTACTCTTCCTTCTCCAGTTTTTCAATGCCTCCTGGATATATATTTTAAATAAGGTAGGTGATAAACTGCACCCCTGTCTAAGTCCTTTAGATGTCAGGAAGGATTCCGATAGGAACTTCCCCTGTCTGATCATACTTTTTGGATTTTTGTACATATTCCAGATTGCATTGATATATGTTTTACTCACATTTGCTTCAACCAAGATTTCAAATAATTTCTTCAAAGGCACCGAGAAAGCCTATGACAGCTTTCTCTAAATCTATAAATACCAGATGCGTGTCCAAATTTCGAGCTCTCCTTTTTTCAATTATTTGTTGTAACACAAATATGTTGTCTGTACAAGAACGCCCAGCGCGGAAACCACCTTGTTCTTCTATTTCTTCAAAGCTCTCTTCTACTCTCTCTTAATATCCTGCCATACAACCTTCCCATTGAGCTTGTCAAACTAATGCCTCTGTAGTTGCTACATCTTTTTTTGTCTCCTTTTTTAAAGATAGAGCTGATGTACGCCAGGTTCCAGTCTTCAGGAATGTTTTCGTTTTTTATCAGGCATCTGTTGAAGATATCAGCTAGTATTTCCAATAATATATCGGGTCCCTGCTTTATTAGCTCAATGAAAATGTTTCCCGGCCCCGCAGCTTTTCCATTTTTTGAGTTCTTCAATGCTTTCTTTATCTCGTTTACACTTATTTCATTTACATCTATATCTTTTGCGTTTTTCAAATCTGGCACTTCTAGTTTGAATTCTGTCCTGTTTTCTGTCAGTAACTGTTTGTAATGGTCTTCCCACTTTTCCATTCTTATAAGTTCTAGTTTACTGTTTTGCTTTTCGTCTCTTCTAAGGTTCCTTATTGTCTTCCATGCTTCTGACACTCTTGTACCTCCCATATATCTTTCGACTCTCTCACATTTGGTTTCCCACATTTTGTTTTTGCTTTTAGCTATTTCGCGTTTAACCATTCTATTTAATCTTGCATATTCTTCTCTGTCGTGGTCGCTGTGGGTATTAAGCCATTCCTACTAGTTACTATCAAAAATTTCCTTGTTCCATCTCATGATTCCGCTAATACTAAAATCGACGCATCGTAACCTTTAAACGTAAATATATGATACTGTATCCATTAGGATAAAAAAAGTACCACTAGTAGTACCCTTTAGTCTAATGGAAAGTACCCTTTTAGGACTGTTACGGATTTTTACACTATCGCCATTGGCTTTGGCTTTAAAATGTGTGTAAGAGTACCAAATTTCAGGAAAAACGGTTTACCAATGTTCTTAAAAATTAACAAAATATGTAATTTTTATTTGGTTTGCGTTGGTATAATCGAATAACTCAAGCGTATCTGATGTTTGTGTCAACAAATAATTATTATAAGTGATCTATTTTTACTATTAATATTAGGGATATAAGTCAGAATTCAGAATCATTTGATAATATTAAATTATTTGTGACAGAATATATTTTGTTGATGCTCGTTGCTATATTCGTTTAGTGCATTGAAAATAGATTATTTTTGAATAAAATAGTCTTGTTTTTCAGTTACATTTTTGAGTTTCTTAATTTTTATTTATTGTTTTGTAGTTCTTTTTTCTTTAAAAATATTTAGAATTTTTTTATAATTCTCTTTCACCCTCAAGAACAGTTAACCTAATAGGACTGCTCATTCAGCCAAAAGTGTCCGCCAGGTGCATGCGAAAACTACTCGCTTTGTGACGTCATTGTAGCCCTTGTCATTGCTATTAGTCCTTATCCGGCAACCAATAATACACACACGTGCATTATTGGTTACCGAATGCAAAACGTTCATTATTTAGTTTATTTATTTAAACACCTTATATGTATGCAGTATAGAAAATTAACTGTATAAATCGTATTAAATACTCGGATAATGCATTTTTAAGAACAGCAGTTCCCAGCATCACCTTTTGCAAGAATTCTTTTTAGAGTACTTCCATATTTTGCTTTAAAATAATTAATAAACAAAATCGTGGGCACTTAGTATGCACTTTGTCACAATCCACAACACAAAATGAACGTATTTATACACTCTATAGCTCTAAAAACTTTAAAGACGCCTTTTCACATTTAAAATTGACAAAATAATTAACTCAAAATTTCTCAGCTGTTATTTTTATAAGTTTACCATAGGCAACTAATAATACACACTATCATGACAAGGCCACGAAGGCTTTGACAAGGGCTACAATGACGTCACAACTGTCAGCTGAAGCGCGGGAAGAGGCGAACGTACGTCTTATGAGGATGAGCAATCCTATTAGTTTACCGTTCTTGTTTCACCCTGGGGATGAGTGCCACTCCTTTTCGGGGGTGAAAAATAGATCACCCATTTTAGTTACAAAAACCAATAAAGGGATGAATTTTAAGCAAAAAAATGTTCTATAACATTTTTTCAGAAAATTAATATTTTTCGAGTTATTTAGGATTGAAAATCTTCATCTAAAAACTGCATATTTTTCTGCAATTTTTTATAAATAACTCATATAAAGCAAAAGTGAAGCTTTTGGAATAACGAATCGATTAATTTTTTGTTGTTTACCATAGATGTAGTAATAGCCGAGTTATCACTCTGTAAACTTGATTCTTTATTTTTCGAAAACTAAATTGCAACCTTTTACAGTGAAAAAATGGCGAAAGAACACATTTTTCGAAGATAATGAATATGACCGTTTTTAAAGTGCTTGATGAAAAGACCTTTTAAATGTCTTTTTTTTAAAGGTCTTTTCAAGTTCGTAGCTCAAAAACTCGCGAAGTTATGATAAAAATAAAATGGTTACCTCATTTTTTCGGAAAAAAATTAACAAAGTCTATGACTAAAATCATAAAAATAAAAACTATCAATTTGTAGGAAATTACACGAGCTAAAAATTAACCTCTATAGTTGAACAGTCTTGAACTCTTCATTTTCACGAGATTTTTGCGTTTTAAGGGCTCAAAGAAGGTTAGGTTAGGTCCTTACATGTAAGTCAAACTAAAAAAACGTAATATCTACGAAATAACGAGATTACAGAAAAATTAAAAGGGAGCAAAAATATTGCAAAAAAAGACCTTCAATTTTCCTCTGTTGCATTTTTTACGTATCTTGCTTAGTTTTTGAGATATGTCAAAAAATTTTTTTAAAAAACAAAAAAAATTTTTATTTCATTATTTTCAACTTTTTTCCAAATTTGGGCATTCTAAATCGCTCGAACTTGGAGTCAATTTCCAGTATCTAAATATAGCCAAATGTACGTGTATTACGCTTAGTTTTTGTTTTTATGATTTTAGTCATTGATTTTGTGGTTAATTTTTTTCCGAAATAATGAGGTGACCACATTATTTTTATCATAACTCCGCGAGTTTTTAAGCTACGAACTTTTTTAAGAAAGCATTTAAAAGGTCTTTTTAAACACTTTAAAAACGGTCATATTCATTTTCTTCGAAAAATGTGCTCTTTCGCCATTATTTTACGGTAAAATGTTGCAATTTAGTTTTCGAAAAATAAAAAATCAAGTTTACATAATGATAACTCGGCTATTATTACACCTATGGTAATCATCAAAAAATGGAACGTTTAGTTATTCCGAATACTTCATTTTTGCTTTATATGAGTTTTGCGATAAAACGCAAGGTTTTCGAGTTACTTATAAAAATTGGCAAAAAATATGCAGTTTTTAGATGAAAAATCAACATTTTCAATCTTAAATAACTAGGAAAATATTAATTTTCTGAAAAAATGTTATAGAACATTTTTTGCTTAGAATTCATCCCTTTATTGATTTTTGTAATTAAAATGGGTGACTTCTTTTTCACCCCCGAGAAGGGGTGGTACTCATCCCCAGGGTGAAAGCACACATCGCTACTATCTAACTTTTTTTTCTTACATATATCTCTATTGACTGTTACAATTTACGTCACTCGGTGCAGGTGTTCAGAATTCGGACCCTAAAACCACAGAATATCCTAGCTACGCAACAGAAAAATACTCGAAATGAAAGAGCTAAAATTGCACAAATAAAATACTAGATGGCGCGACAATATCATAATCAGAATATAATTGGAAATTTTCAACTTTCGGTTTTGGATCGACGTAGATCGACGGCACGTGGACGGCCTTGAAGCTCGGCAAAATATGCACAGTTGCCAGATTCAAACAGACTTTAATTGGCATCCCATTCTTTTTCTGGTGTAAATAATTTCTTTCTATTCTTCGTTTCTTGTCAGATACACTTATATTAATTATTCGTTTGGCTTTTAAAATTAGAATAAATTACCTAATAAAAATAAAAAAATAAATTAGAAAACATATGCTCTCAAAATACATTTTTAATATACACTACTTTTTTATGTTAACTAAGAAAATAACTTTAAATTACCTTTAAAATTAATAATATACAGGGCGATTGATAGTGATATTTATTAATGCTGAAACGTTAGTAATGAAATATACGTTTAATAATAATGGAAATGATTTATTAAAATGCAGTACAAAAAATGTTAATTGACTAAAAAAATACTATAATAACAATTTTTTTCTGTTTGCCATGTTATTTATATAGACCTAGGTAGATTTTAAAAAGTGACACAGGTACAATTATTAATATATTAGTTCGGCATACTAGTTGCTGTCACGACATCCTACAATAAATTAAAATTCGTAAAATAAATTAAAACTATTAATTAAACAAATCTTTATAAAGAAACACAAGTATATCAAATTTGGGTCCAATCGAACGCCAGGAAATGGTATCATAATATGGTACCACATTATGGTACCCCTTGATATGCTTCATGGTACCATAATATTGCAATGTCATCAAAAATACGCAAGTATAATCAAATATGAGCCCAATCGAACGTCAGGAAGTGGTAGCGTAATATGGTACTATATTAAGGTACCACTTTATATATGCATCATAGTAGATGCATCATAGTACCAACATATTACAATGTCACCGAAGATACTTACTATACCAAGTTAAGCCCCCAATCGAACGCCAGGAAATGGTATCGTATATGGTACTATTATGGTACCTCTTGATATGCTTCATGGTACCATAATATTGCAATGTCATCAAAAATATGTATCTTTTATATCAAATATGAGCCCAATAAATAAGCGTCAGGAAGTGGTATCATAATATGGTACTATAGAAGGTACCAATTTATATGCTCCATGGTGTCATCATATTACGATGTTACCGAAAATACGTAGTATATAAAGTTTAAGCTCAATCGAAAGCCAGAAAATGGTATCGTAATATGGTACTACATTATGGTACCCATTGATATGCTTCATGGTACCATAATATTGTAATTTCATCAAAAATACGCAAGTATAGTCAAATATGAGCCCAATCGAACGTCAGGAAGTGGTACCGTAATATGATACTATAGATATAATATATATATAAGAAGATACTTACTATACCAAGTATAAGTCCAATCGCACGCCAGGAAATGGTATCGTATATGGTACTATTATGGTACCTCTTGATATGCTTCATGGTACCATAACATTACAATGTCAATGAAGATACGTAATATACCAAGTTTAAGCCCAATCGAACGTCATGTATCGTAATATGGTACTATATTATTACGGTATCACTTGATATGCTTCATGGTACCATAATATTGCAATGTCATGAAAAATACGCAAGTATATATCAAATACCGTATGATACCAAAAAAAACGGCGTCCAGTTAGTTGGGAGAAGACGATCGATGACATTTCCCATATAAATTTACACATAAAATGGCAGCGATTTTCATTTCATAGCCATCGCTAACGCCGTTTTTTGCTGATCATACGGTATGAACACAATCGAACGTCAGGAAGTGGTGTCAAATAGTAGAACAATACTTATTATATTGTCGCCGAATTACAATCAAAATTTAGGATTCAGTTAGAATCAAAGGTCAGGAAGTGATTTTAATTCAGCTCGTAAGATTTAACTCCACTAACATGGCAAGTTAAATACTTAAACGTTTGAAAAAAGAGCTCTAATCTATTTTAATAAGTTTAAATGATGTAGCAAATTTGAACGTAGGCTTTATCAGGAAGTATTACAATATAAATTACACAATGGCAACACTGCATAAAATTCTTTTAAATTTCCTTTGTAGAAAACTGTTTTCTTTTAAATTTATCGCCCTCTGTTATGTAGTAGTGAAACTACCGCATTAAAATATCTGATTTGGAGACAGGCTTTAAAAGCTTTAAAAGCCTGTCTCCTTTTGAGACCTACGATTTTTTACATGTAACGAGGCTTCTGTTGCGTAGCTAGATATTCTGTGCTAAAACCCTCGCTTACTGGCCTGTAACTATTTTAATCATTGTTGATCGGTCTGTACGTATTACAGCTGAATACTAAATAGTGTATTAATAGAATAAAATTTAATTATTTTTTCATCAAAAATTAAGGAAACGTTACAGATAATATTAATAAATATTTTATAACTGAAAAGTTAAGCCTCATTAAATAAAGTGTTTAATTAGATATTTAATTTTTCAGTATTCAGGATTTCAACAAACCGCAGAAAAATGTGCAATTTGTGGTCATTTAATTATGGAAATGGTAATTAAATGAATTAAAGAAATACCTTCTTTAACTAATAATGTTATACTTTTAGATTTTACAAGCCATGGGTAAATCATATCATCCTGGATGTTTTCGATGTTGTATATGTAATGAATGCCTAGATGGTGTACCTTTTACAGTTGACGTTGATAATAAAATTTATTGTGTTAATGACTATCATAGAATGTTTGCTCCGAAATGCTCCTCATGTGGAAAAGGTTTGTAAATTTATTATATCTAGTGTGTATTATTATTATATCGGTTTTGTAACCGATATGTGAAATCAAATACCGGTTTTTCGATTAATCGGTTAATCAATAAACGCAGTTTTATCTGAAATATACTTTATAAATCTACTATTATTTCAGAAAATATAGACAATCTAATCTACTATTTCAGAAAATATGTATATCTACCGGGTGCGTCTTAAAAGTGGCATACCCCTATAACTTTTTTAGGATTGATTGACGTATTCAATTGCTTTTGGTCAATTCCTGTTTCACCGGAAATGACTACAACTTTTGATTTTTAAATGGCACACTCGGTATATTTCTACTTTATTCGATAGAAAATGACACTCTGAATCGAATGACATATCATATGTCAACTTTTGACTTTGTATTTTAAATTTCAATTTAGAGCGCCATGGCTGTATTAAAAACACTAATTTTTAATCAAGGGGCCTTGGAAAAATAGATTTTATCGTCTAATGTGTTAGTGTATTGTCTTGGCCGATTAAAAAATGCCGAAATCATATCTTAATCATATTTTATAAATTTTAATCATATCTCAATTTTTTCAAATGGAGCGAGCGTGTCTCATTAGCATATTCGGAAAAAACATTTTTTTACGAATAATTGATACCACACACTTGGTATTTCAAGTCAAATTATCGTTATGAACCGCATGTTACAATTTCAAATAAACCATATACGAAAATATCAAAAGTTGACATATGATATGTCATTCTATTCAGAGTGTCATTTTCTATCGAATAAAGTAAAAAAAATACCGAGGGTGCCATTTAAAAATCAAAAGTTCTAGTCATTTCCAGTGACACCGGAAGTGACCGAAAACAATTGAATATGTCAATCAGTATCTAATTTATGTCATATACTAACATACTAAATCTCGTTGTTTTATCTGAAAAAATAAAAAAGTTATAGGGGGTGAGCCACTTTGGACACGCACCCGGTATAATAACCGAGTATACAAACAGAAAAAAATTGTAAAACAACCTAAGCCCACGGCCACACAGAAAGCGTTTTTTGCTTTTTTAGCGTGAAGCGCCGTTTGCGTCTAAAACAAAATAACAGGATTATATAGGAGTGGCCCCAACAAAAGCGTTTAGGGTTCGACGTGTCTCGCAAAAAACGCAAATTAAAACAAATCAATCTCTGTAGAGTAAACGCCACGAATGTTTGGGAGTGATTCATCGCTTGATGAAGTTAGAATCGACACGCGCGCTATCATTTTTACATTAAAAAGGTTAATTTTTACCGCAGACGTAGGTTTTTAGAGGTCTAACCATCTGCCGGTCTAATCATCTGCCTGCGCTCCTCCTACTTATTCTAAAATGTTAGCGTGAGTGACAAAGACGATACTATATCGCGTTTCTTTGATTGATTCGTTTTTGTGCGTCAGTCCATTGGTGTGCTTGCAGTGCGACCAATGGGGCATTCCATTTTATTTTTATAACCAAATATATGTTTTGACAAGACTTTGACAGTTAAAACAACAAATTACAACAGATTATACAGGGTGTCTCAGATTTTAATCGGGAAATTTTAATAGACGATAGAACTTGCAAAAATAAATCAAAAAGTTCATATCAACTTGTAAGATTTAAAGCTTCCTTTTCGAGATACAGGGTGTTAAAGTTACTTAAAAAAGAAAAAAAAATTAAGATATTTGAAAAACTATTTAATCGATTTTGATATAACTTGACCCGTTTATATTACTTACTATGGGACTTAATTTGATGTAATTAGATTTAAGTTTAATGGCCAGGGGCGGCAGTGGGGCATCACTGTCAAATTATTTTAAAGGAAAAAATAGGCACGCCACTGCTTTTTTAGAAGTTTAATATTATTTTTGGATTTAGCAATTAAAAATATTATTTTTTTGTCTCCTGACTTTTTTGTCCATCTTGCTTACTTCTTGCGAAAAAAATTAAATTCTAATTGGTAATTAATATTATAATTAGTATTCTAATGGTACCCTGTATCTCGAAAAGGAAGCTTTAAATCTTACAAGTTGATATGAACTGTTTGTTTTATTTTTGCAAGTTCTATCATCTATTAAATTTTCTCGATTAAAATCTGAGACACCCTGTATATTGATTATTATATGACTTGAAAGACCACGGCACTGGAATTAAGTTTTATGTAACCTTGAACCTTTGAATAAGAAGACTAAGGAAGGAGCATATCAAAAATCTTAGGTACACCGCGATGGGCCTCAAATATGGCCGACTTAAATTCCGGTTTATCAGTGTCGTTCTAATTTTATATAAAAAATGTTAAACTATGATGTAGGGTAGACGTGGGGTAGACTCAATAATTTGTTGTTTTATTTTACGTTGTGAATAAATGTTGGTAGTTATTAAAATTGTTATAAAAATATATAATTCTAATAAAAATAGATAAGTTATAATAAGTATTTATTAACAAAAACATCCGATACGCTACTGAAGCAGGTAAGTCAAATTAACGTATCTAAATTCTTTGACATCTAATCTTTGACAAGTAATAAATAAAAGCTAAAATGCAAGAAAAATATATATAATTTAGTTAATTTAAGTGAATTTCATAAATGATCGGTTTACTACACGTATGTATATTATATAGTCACTTACTAGCGAAAAGTTGTTCCATTATTTCACTCATTTTTTTACCGAAATCTACCGCACGCTACACAACCAACTATTTTAGAGACTTTATCGATAAATCGCGATAGTGTCGCTGTTAATTTAAGTTCTGCCACAATTTCCATCTAGATTTACTACCTTTATACAACTATCAGTAGTAGAATAAATAATAAATAACATAAAATAAGCTCCGTAAAGACTGACAAATCCACAAAATTTCAAATCAAATTCAAATGTGTCAAATGAATCGTCAAACAGAACTGTCAAGGATCCCCACCCTAGAGAGCTTTTATGGTGGCTTTTCCGCCCACCATGCATGAATATATGGATAGCATTATACTCCTTCCTTAGTCTTCTTATTCAAAGCCTTGAACAGATTATTTCACATGGTAGCGACCGATGAATCACTCCCAAACATTCGTGGCGTTTACTTTAGCGTCTTTAGCGTTTTCTATGAGACCCCGTCATAGGCGGACGTAATATTTAATAATATAATAACAACAAATTAAATAGTATCCATTTTTTTTTCATTTTAGAGTATTAGGTATCTAAAAATACTTTTATAGAGAACATATACTGTTTAAGAAGATTCTATTAAATTCAAAAATTTGAAGGAGATGTTTAGAAAAGTGTAGTTTGAAATGTTGAAACAGTAATAAATTAAAGGAATATTTTTTTACGCGTAAAAAATTGTTTTTTATGCGTAAAATGGTTTTTTTACGCGTAACAAATAGTTCTTTACGCGTAACAAATAGTTTTTTACGGGTAACAAAAAATAGTTTTATACGTGTAAAAAATAGTTTTCTAGATACAAAAAATAGATTTTTATGCTTAAATTTTTGTTTACCGGTAGCGAGTAGTCTTGCGACTAAAAAAATAGTTTATGTCCTTACCTCAGCGTCACGACTAGCCTTTCTTCTGGCAAAATGACTTCTCTATAGTTTAACTTATTTTTCTGTATTCTGTCTTTAATTTTATTCAGTATTAAATCAAACGTTTCCACAGTCATTCTGCAGTATTCATAAAACTTGCGAGAGTGCTGACATAATTTGTTAAAAAGCGTTTGATATTCGCCGTTTGTTTCTCTTTCTTCATTTATTTCATGTACCTACAGTATTGGCCATAAGTGGATGAACTTTGTTAATATAATGGGTTTTTCCTAATATGTTTAAAATTAAAATTTGAGCTATATTTACTTGAAGTCTAGTGTCTTTTAAAATGTGCTTTAATAAGGTAGCAGAAAATTTAAATTGAAAAAACTATTGGACAAAAGTAGATGAACAAAATATATATTTAATAAAAAAAAATCTTATGTTAACAAAAACTGAAAAATTAACTTCTAATTTACTAGTACTTAGTGTAATAACCCTTATTCTTAATTACTTTCAGACATCGCTTAGGCATGGATCCCAGAAGATTTTCAATTATAGAAAAATCGATATTTTTCCAAGACTCTTCCAAAGTTGCAAATAATTCTTGCTTATTTTTGTAGAATTTGGTCCTAATGTGTTGATCCAAAATTTCCCATAAATTTTCTATTGGATTCAGGTCTGGGGATTGCGATGGCCATTTGAGAACAGTCACCATTTCATCTTCCAAAAACCTTTTAACCAATTGTGAGGCATGTTTCGGGTCGTTATCATGTTGGAAGTAGTGTACAACTGGCATTTTTTCTCCAAATAAGGCACTAAAAGGTTTTGTAAAAAATGTCTTTGTAGCCAAACCGATCCATTATGCCCTCAATTTTATGGAGAGGCCCCATCCCATACCCAGAAAACACCCCCATACCATGATTGAGCCCCACCATGTTTTTTACAGTGCGTGTCGGGTGTACTTTGGTAGCAATCGTGTGTTGGGAGGTCTTCTTACATGTTGAATTCCATCTGATGACACCAAATTAAACTTTGATTCATCAGTAAAACAAACTTTTTTCCATTGTGCCACAGTCCAGTTTTGATATTCCTTGGCAAATGCTAATCGGGCCTTCAAAGTTTTTTTGATAGCAGTGGTTTCTTGGCGGGTCTTCGGGAAAACAACTTCTGGTCAACTAATTTACGTCGGATCGTCCTGGTACTCACTGGTGGATAGCCCATTTCTTCAAGTTTTGCTTTTATCTTCGTTGACGGCAAAAATGGATCTTGTGAAGAAATTCGTTTTATGGCTTTTATCATATTGGGACCAACTTTTTAGGTCGTCCTGGTTTTCTTTTTATAGAGACATCATCTCTCTCATTATATCTCTTTAAATTATAATGTACCGCTGATTTTCCAAGGCGTAATTGCTTAGCGATTTCCGATTGCTTCAAACCATCCTTAAAAGCATTCACTACTCGCAACTTAAGATCTGCAGGCAAGTTAATTCCACGTGGCATGATATATGACAAGAGCTCAAATGTTTTTAAATCGCAATTGTTCGTAAAAGCAGAACAAATGAAACTAACGATTTTTAAAAATATTTGGTTCATCTACTTTTGTCCAAGACAAAAAAGCAATATTTGCCAATTCTTATCTATAAATGATAAGACTAACAGAAGAATTTATATTTGTTTGTAGTATTTTGGTGAGAATGTATTAAACTTTTAACATACAAAGGTACATAAAATAATTTTGATATTTAACACCTCAAATCTGATTTTCTTCGCAATTATTGGTATTGGTTCATCCACTTTTGGCCAATACTGTAAGGAGAATCACCCATACTGTCGTCAAATTTAAGACTAATATTTTAAGATAATAACAGTCTCTTTGCGACGTTACTAATCGACATCTTGATAGAAACTGCAGACCTTCCGCGTCTTTTGCGTGTTTTTAATGGACACAAATGACAAAAAACGCTTCAAACGGTAACATCGCAAAAAACATTTGAGACGCAAAAAACGCAAAACGGTACAAACGCTTTCTGTGTGGCCGTGGGCTAATACTTTGTATTGCCTCCCCTGGCTGCGCTAACTGCCTGTCGATCTCCGTTTATAGTGTCAATGAGGATGCAATAATGTTTGCATCGCATTTTTTTACGAATAATTTGATACCACACACTTGGCATTTCGAGTCAAATTTTCGTTACGAACCGCAAGTTATAATTTGAAATAAACCATTTTTTTAAGCTAAAATGTCAAAAGTTGACATATGATATGTCATTCTATTCAGAGTGATATTTTCTATCGAATAACGTAAAAAAATATCGAGGGTGCCGGAAACCGGAAGTGATCGAAAACATTTGAACACGTAAATCAATCCTAATTTATGTCATATACTAACATAGCAAATCTTGTTTTTTTAACTGAAAAAATAAAAAAGTTATAGGGGTGAGCCACTTATGAGACGCGCCCGGTGTCTATCTGTTGCGTATCTGAGGGACAAAATTTTACGACCTACCTCGACAATGCTTTGAAATAAACTAAATTAAGCGATCGCGATCGCGCTTGGTTTAAAAAAAACCGTAAAACCGTATTTTTAAATACGAGTGATATTTCGCTCGAGCGATCACTCGATTATTGCAATCGCTTGAAACTCGAGTACTCGATTATTGAAATTAATCGGTTTTTCCCATCACTAGTTATGTCCACGGGTCAACAGTGACGAAAATTGATTTTGACAATTTTGCTATTATAGGGTAGCCAATTTAAACTTAAAATAAAGATAGTAAATTGGTTCCAAATTGCAACATACATTCCTGTTTTACAATTTCCTGTTAAATGTTTTCTTATGATATCAGTAATATACTTTTATTTGGACTTTAAATGGTTTTGCTTTATTCTTTTTTGCATAAATAGGAACTTAATATAAATTAAACCATGTACAGGATGGACCATTTTGGTTGTTTCTATAAGGTATCTAGGAAACCGTGAGAAATATTCAAATTTTGATACTGCAGTCTCGGGTTCTTTTTTTGAAAAAATTAAATTGGCGCAAACAGATCGTGGCTATCTTGATCGGTTTCGAAGCTACAGGGGGATTCTCAAATTTTGTACTTTTTGAAGATGTTCGATAGTTTGTTTATTTCAGCAGCAATGGAAAAATGAATTATACATTCTAAAGGCACTTTTCTGTGTAAAATGCAGTGGCGTAGTCAGACTTTTTTCGAAAAAAATATTTTTTTGGGATATTAACTATACTTATGTTTTTTTAAATAGAACCCCCTGTATATTTTTAAATTTTCTTATTCAGCTTGGCATGGGATTCTTGAAAATATATAACACTCTATATTTATTTTCACTATTAATCTCAACATTTCAAATTTTTCTTAAAATATCCACTTATTGTGTGACCAACGGATCTGTAGCTACGGGGTATCGGCAGGGGAACGCAGTTGTAAACAAAACACGCCCAATTTCATTCATAAAATAGGCATGGGCGTACGGTGTTATATGAAAATAATGTGTATCATAAATATAATACTCAGATTAATAATTTTTTTCAAAAAACTTTATGCTGTTTGAATCGTTACTGTTGAGTTAGCAGATAAACACTAAAAAGCTTTTATTAAAAACTCCCTTAAATATTTTGAATCATTTTATTATTGTGTTGTTAATATAATAGAAGAAATAATTACAGCTGGGGTTGGAACCTTTGGTGTTACACAGCAAAATAAAACAGTACAATACACCAAAACACTTTTAATTTTACACTGGACGCACGTTTTGCTAACTATGTCTGCCTATCAGCAGATGATCAAGACTGAGTCTTGAGGTATATTTATTTATATATCTATACTAACTATATTTTTTTCTATAATACGTAATTTTAGATATAACTATTTCCAGCAAAAAAAAATCTTGAAAATAGTTAACTTTGGAAGCGCAAACAAAACATAATTTTACTCACCAGTAGATCCAATATTGCCTATTACACCAGATATGGTATCGCTCCGCCAGCAGTTTTTAAAGGTTAGGTCATTGTCTACCCATATGTTTGATCCAAATAGATAATACTTGGCTATATTTTCGAATTTCGCGTATATATTTATATCTCTCTCTGCAATATAATGGGCCGCTCCATCATTAACCATTATCAAATTCCTGACCACTTCGAAAAAGTCGTCGAGCTTTTCGACAGCAGTCTCACGTGGTCGTTTCTTTCCAGAGCTGGATATCATTTTATCGGGGTTAGTTTTCAGCCTTTTTTTATCTTCCGTGTGAATTTTTTTATAGCCGATACGCTAACTCCGATATAAAGAAATATCCGCTCAAGTTTACGTCTAAGCGGCAACTTAAGCGAACTCTCTGTAGCTTCTTCATCGCAAACCCTATTATGAACACAAGGAAATAAACCAAATGAGATTTCATCCACGTTATTATTAACTTACCTATATAAATTAGCTATTATTTCTCTTGTCTGACTATGTAGCGTCTTACCCTTAACAAATTTATTCGTTTTAAAACACAAATATACGATCAAACTTGATATTAATAATTAAAAACTACGAACGAAAAACATTATAATAAGATAGATAGATAGATAGATAGATAGATAGATATTTCTTTATTTATTTCCAATGTTTACAATAAAAACACATAAAATAGCCCAAACAGGCATGGAAACATTGTCAAATAAGAATATTTCACACCAAAATAATATAATTACAGTTAAGATAATACTACAATTAAACTAAGATCTTAACTAAGTAAAATAAGCAAATACATAGAAGAAATAAAAAACGATAGAATTAATATATACAAACAACAAATATTACACATTAGATATCAGACTTATAAACACAGCTTTATCGGATCTGTAAAATTCTTCTAACGAATAAAAGGCTTTCTTTGCTAGAAAAGATTTTTAATGTGGCTTTTAACTTGTTTCTTGCCAAACCTCGAACACATTCGGGAAGGAAATTGTACATTTTTATTAATGAGAAATCAACATTTTTTTGTAGGTAGCTAAAATTATATTTATCTCCGACTAAATAGGAGGATAACAAAACAATAAAACACAACTTAACTATCAAATATACGAAAAATATAGGAATAAAGTTTAGGATAACCGGTATAAAATAATGAAATAAAGTAATAATGATCAAAAAAATGACACCGCCACTGGATATTTCAATAGTATTCAATATTCCTACTCTTTTCAGAAGAGACCGTGAAGTTGGGTGGCTAAAGCAAGCGAATAGGAAAGGCGTAAAAAGCCATGGCAACCGCGTGGTAACAAATCCTGTGACGTACGCTCTCGCCAATCATGTTCGATGAATAGGCGGCCATGCGCGGCGATGCCGGTTTGCCAATGATATCGTTGAAAAATCTTCAACTTCATATAACAAGCAGATTATACAGAATGAAAGAAAATAAGTTATTAAATAAAACATATCGAACAATATGAACTACGTTAAAATTCCTTAGTAATATACGTCAGAATATATGCTAAACACATTATATATAATAAAAATATATTAAATTTATAGTTCATGTCTGGCAATTTTGCAATTTTATAGATAAACGTGGCAATATCGATTTTTTTTCTCGCATTCCTTCCGTAGCTTCAGATCCGCTGGTCAAACAGTAGTAGGTAATAGGCCGCGCCGAGTAACAAAGTAAACGGTTGTCATGGTGATCGGGACATACCTTTGATGGATGCGTGACATTTCATTTCAACAAATTGAAGTGTGTGTATTTTAAATAATAAAGAAATGAGTAAATTTGAAAATTTAGAAAACTTCCGGTATTTCCGGAAGTGCCGCCATATTGAACATATTTTTAATCGATAGATCTCGTTGTGAAACCATGATGTGCAAAAAATTTCCGATCTAGATATTGTAGTTCTCTAGAAACTTCTAATGCCCGCCCAGCCTGGGACACCCTGTATATTATTTTTACAGTTTCAATAACTAATATGATATTTTGACTTAACATAAAACACTACCCTACTTTATATTTTAACAGGTTTTAAATAAAAACTGGTAAACCGGAATTTAAGCCAGCAATATTGAACCGGAGCAATATGTAGCGTTAATTTTGTTGATTTGCACCTTCCTTAGTATTTTTATTCAATGAGTATGTATATTATACATCATATTTGACGTTGCTTACAGGGATTACTCCAGTAGAAGGTACCGAAGAGACTGTTAGAGTAGTGTCAATGGATAAAGACTTCCATGTTGATTGTTATGTGTGTGAAGAATGTGGGATGCAACTAACGGATGAACCTGATAAGCGATGCTATCCCCTTGAAGGCCGATTATTATGCCGAACCTGTCACATTCAAAGACTACAACATACACCTCGTCATATGCACCCAGTAGCTGCTACTTATCAGTATGGTGCATAAATTATCATAACAGTTTAGAGCCAAGCAATTTATTTTTATATGTTTTTATTCTGTTGCCTTTATTTTTTTCATTAGTACTTAATTCTATGTACAGTAAGCTTGAGGTAATACTATACTAGAAAATTTAGTTAATAGGAATTCATTGAATAGCCAGTTATTACATATTGTCCATAAGTTAAGTATTTTCTAATAGCTATAGAGATTACGTACCTGAGACCTAATTCTAATTTACTGCATCGTGAAAATCCGATTTTGTTGGACGTCGAAATTGTATTTTTCTATTCCAATATACAGGGGCATCTATAGTTTCAATATGATTATAGAACAAAAATCTTAGGAATTTAGTTTAAATGTTGAACTATACTGTGCACTAGGACGTCTTTCAGGAAAATATGTTCATTTGTACAGGGAGTCATAAACAGATGAGTGGACAATTTTTTTAAACGCTATACCTTGTATATTATTGCATTTTGGCGTTCATTCTTGGATATTATATTAAATTTGTTTTCAAAGTGTGTTTAATTTGAAAAAAAAAACAAGAAAAAATACTTTAATAATTTTATTATTATTTATAACTTAAATTCAATAAATTATTCAATTAAAACAATAACAACTGTATTTTAACAATTATAACATTAAATTTTGAAAATCCCTGTACAATTTACAATTACAATATTTAAAAGAGAGTAAGTACAGACCAGCTGTAGTAAAAATCTAGTATTAATTTCGAAATATTTCTTGTATTTTATTTTTGTTTAAATCTTGTTATGTAAAGAATCAGGAAGGATTATGTAAAGTGATCACGAAGAAGTAAGGAACCCAAAAATACAATAATATAACGGGTGTTTCGTTAAAAAATCACTCTTGCCCACTCATGTTGTAATGAAACATCTTATACAAGTGAAACTGTTTTCCAGAGTTAAGAACTAATAACTAATAAACCCAGTATAGGTGTGCGTTTATACAAAATCCCCAAATTATTTATTATAATTTTTTTAAGTGCTATTGTAGACTAACTTTTACCCGCTACTGGTAATTAACACTATCCAGAAATTACAATGAAAGCCGATCAATACAGCAGCTGAAGTTTTATATGGGACATTCAATTTTAGAATCAAGACATTCAAATTAATTTGGTAAACAGGATATTACGAAAAAAAGGTTGAAAGCAGATCAATTAAAACTAATTTGTGCAACTTTCTCTTATACCAGTAGCGACTAGACGTTTAAACTATTGCAGGACCTGTATTTAGATTGTAAGTGGATACAACCTGAACGACGTCTGCGATAGCTTTGAAATGAAGATCGCTGGCATTTTATATGGGAAATCTCATCGATCTTCATTTCCAAGCCAACTGGACGCCTTTGTTTTCGATCATACGGTATTATGAGAATCAGGCCTCGGAATAATAATCAATTATACTTTGAGCAATATTTTCCTTTTAATATAAAAATATAGTGAGTATAAGAATCAATGACATTTCCTCAACAAATATAGATGTTTTAAATCACTAAATTGTTTTGTTTTAACGAATTAACAACTATAGCCTGACTGGCAATGGGATTTCATCATTAAAAAATGACAGAAGGAACAATATTTTATTTGTGAATAAAATATTGTTCCGTTGTGCACTTGGAATCACTTTCAGCTCCCGATTTAAATTATCAACGTCGGCTTCGGTGATATTTAAATATTGCACCTTAATGTAATTTTTGTAGTTCGAGAAATCAACGCTGATAATTCCAATCGCGAGCTGCAAGTGCAAGGAATTCAAGTGCACATGAGCCAGCTTCGAACAACACTAGGATGTGAACCTCGTAAAGATTACCTCAAAAGGACAGTAACGACAGTGCGACCTTAAAGATCTATTGTGTCCCCCTTCCTTCCATCATACGGTCTATAGAATTTAGAATAAGTGGGAGGGGGTTAATCTCTGCGACCTTAGAGATCTATTGTGTCCCCCTTTCTTGAGTTATAACTCATCATACAGTCCCAGGACTTCCTACGATGACCCGTGTCCCTCACAGTCGAAGAGCTACGACCCAGGCCGGGTAGATGAAACGGTAGCTTGTGTCGCCTGTTGGGTTTAGAGGTAGGAGGTAGGCTCCCGACCCTTGGAGGAGGTGGTAGCTTCTATGCCACTTGCGGAGGGTGGTCTCACACAAGTGTCAGCCATCTCTCCTGTAGTTCTCTTTGGGTTTGGCCCCTTGGAACTTTCATTGTTACTGTTCCCAGTGTCGCTAGGGGGTTTCCCCACAGCTTCACCGGTGATGTTTTTTATTACTATTATTACCAGATCTCATAGTGTTCCTATGAGTCGCTAGGGACAGTCGGTCCACTTCTACAGAGCCCCGCATGTAGAAGTAAGGGGTAAAATACAAGGGGGTGCCCCCCGGTGCCCCAAGGTTGAGGTTGTCCGTAGCCCCGCCCGGAATCGTTATATGTCTTGGTGCAATTCCCTGGCCATGACACTACAGCCAGGGACAAGACGATGAGTGAGATGCTTCTTAGACTAAGCCAAGTGCTAGAGGGGATTCCCCCCAGCACCTGACCCGGAGCTTCCCCACCAACGACAAGGTCTTGCATCTCCTAGGGGAAGATACGGTCTATAACCCATCATACATGTTGTAGGGGGGGCAGGGTATTTCCCATCCTACTCTGACAACAGATGTTCCTCCTCCGAGGGTATATACCCTACCACAGTTCTTTCGATAGCGTAGATTTCTGTCTGAAGGATGCTGCGGTAGGTGCCCATTGGGGTTCAGACTGTCTATCTACTACTATCTCCTATCTCTGTCTCTGCTTTGGTTTTGGAAGCATCAGTATACACCACTTATAGTATGGTTTTTTACATGCTGAGCAAACGTTTCTCCCAATCCTTCTTATTGCTCAATACTACAGTGAGATGTTTCTTAAAGTTGTAAATTCTTGGTATGTCATCAACTGGGAGTTGGAGGAGAGGCATTTTCTTTTTAAGGGTGTTCCAAGCCCCTAACCTGAAAATTCTCCCAGTACTGAATGGTACTGATCCTGTATTATATGATCAGCCAAAACTGAAGGTTATATTTTTCTTCATTATTTCAAATGTAAATAGATTGGTGAATAGAAATAATACAGGGTCTTTTTGATCATAAACAAAATAATTTTTATCTCAAACTTTATGTTTTGTTAAGTAATTTAAGTGGCAAAAATCTATATATCTATTGATCCGCGCCCGCCACAGTTCAGGAGCTTGTCTCCGGCTGAGGTAACTGTGAGGTGGAGGCTGGAGGGTCGGTCTCCATTTTCTCCACTTTTTTAACTTGGTCTCTCCTTAGACCTGATACCGGTGTTATTCCGAACCTATAATAGATGATATATCCCTCTTTCTCTATTGCCTCCTTGGATTTGAGGTCAATTCCTATTGTGAGGATCTGACCATGACCTTCCTCCTCCGAATTGATGACTCGTCAACTGGATGTCTTTGCATTGGAGTTCTGAGCCTGGATAAAGCTCAGCAGGTACGTGGTGTCTTTCCTCTTGCTCCTCGGCAGAAAGACCATGATAGTCGCCCCCTTTTGGGATGTTTTCTCCCTTCACTGCAACAAAGTACAACCTTCAAGTTTAGGTGCCGTTTCCGCCAACGAATCCGCCGATTCTTGAAATGCATAATCTATGAGCAGCATCCCCGCAAAACGCAGCTGAACCACATGTGGACCGTTGTGTTGCAATCCACTCGCTGCCACTTCGTTCAGTATCGTCTCTTCTAGAGCCGTTTGCTGGTTGGTGGTCAGCGCAACCTCTGGGTAATCCTTTGGCAGCACCGCCATTTTCACTTGTCCAGCAACAGCGGCAAAGCTGGTGATACGGTCCTGCTTGCCTTCCGGTGTTAGACGGCTTTCCATCCTGGCTCTTTTCTCTCCTTGCCGGAGCAGAGATGAGAGGTTCTCGCTCCCTCTCTTGCCTCTCTTGGTACCTTTACTCTCACCATTTTCTAGTAGTGATTTCGCTTTTGCTTCCTCTGGAGCAAATCCTTCGTGGAGCAGCCGGAGGTATCTCCGTACTTTTGGTCCACTAAGACCTACTCTCAGCGGATCATTTAGCCCGCCTGGTCGACCTAGTCCGGATAGACGAAACGGTAGCTTGTGTCGCTTGCTGGGTCTAGAGGTAGGCTCCCGACCCTTACTAGCTTGTGTACCACTTGTGGAGAATTGTCTCGCGCAAGTGTCAGCCGCCTCCCCTGAAGTTCCCTTTGGGTTTGGTCCCTTGGAACTTTCATTGTTTGTGTTCCCAGCTTCTCCGGTGGTGTTAATAGGACTAGATCTCATAGTGTTCCCACGAGTCGCTAGGGATAGTCAGTCCACTTCTACAGACTCCCATATGTGAAGTAAAGGGTAAATACAATGGGCTGCCCCAATTTTGACACCAGTAAAGGCTAGTCTTTTATCTAGCCACGCATCCCTTTGATCTGGTTCCGCCATCGGGGTGTTTGGGATTTAGGTTTTTGGTGAGGTCGTCTCCTCTTGGTCTGTTAATGCTGCCTCATGCTGATGAAGAAATGCCACTCAGATGGTTGTTCCAGCAAGACAATGATCCCAAGCCCAAATCTCGGTTTGTTCAAAATTGGTTAAATGAACATAATGTTCCACTAATGGATTGGCCCTCACAGTCTCCGGATCTTAACCCCATAGAAAATTTATGGGACCATTTGGATAGCAAAATTCGAAGCCATTCTATTTCAAATAAAAATGAATTATGGGAAGTGCTAAAAACCGAATGGGCGGCCATTTCCAGTAAAGATTGTACGAGATTGATCGATAGAGAAGTAATTAATTCAAAGGGATATTCCACTAAATATTAGTAATTTTTATATTATCTTGAATTTTAATAAACGTTCTTCTTAAGTTTCCATACTTTTGACGCAAGAAAATATTCATCATTTTTTACATATTTTTTGATAGCTGTAATTTTTTATTTGTATTAGGTTTTGTAGGAAATTATTTGTAGGTCATGATTATATAAGTCGTTTTATTTCATATTTTAATTTCTCAGCATAAATGACAAATTAAAAAAGGTTCCATACTTTTGGCCACCACTGTATGTATACCTATTTATTATACATGTGACACATAACTTAAATTTGACAAAACTAACCAGTTACTATTTTACAAATAATACAAACACCTTTTTTGATAACAACTTTATTTTTTAAATACAGTTAATAAATATTCCTTAAGTTACTTATGTATATGCTCGGTAATATTTTCCAAGAGCGCTGCTGTAAACTTGGATTCAAAACATTATAATCTACTTTTTGTAAATTCTCTAAATAATTCAATATAGGTATAGCTGGTAACAATGCTGGACGACCATTTACTGGAACTTTGTCCATTAAACTTTTAGATTTTATTAAATGTTGATGAGCTCTACTAGCCACTTCATAAACACATTCGGATAATCTTTCACTAGGAGTACCACGAAAAACTTCCTCCTGGCTAACTTGATTTTTTATTAACACTTCTTCAGGTAGAGGTATAAAGTTTAATTTTTTGGCATATGGTATACATCTGAAATTTACTAAACTAGGAACATAATTTACATTTATGCCACAGTTACCTTAACTGTTGAACAATTCCCTGCGATTTTCCTAAGTGTGATGCTGCATGATCAGCATTAACATCTCTTACATTACAACCTTCTAAAATTAAGTACAATGCACTTGACACTGTTTGGTCTGCATACTTTTCGATATCTACTAAGCTTTTAAAGCTATGTGTATTTATATTGTCTTTTCTTGCTGTCACCAAATTCTTTAAGTACCTTTTATTTAAATCAGCTTTCGTTATTGCCTAAAACACCTATTTTAATATATTAAAATTTATATTAATCATCAAGTAACAGGAATAGTCCAACCTTAAATAATTCAATGGCAACAGGATGTTTTGGAACATCTTTAATATTTTTTAAATAACATTTATCTATAGTTTCTTCCCAAAATGTTAACTTCATTAAACCAATTGTTTCTTGAGACATTTGTTCAACAATCCTAGATATTTCAACATTAAAACTACGTACCGCTATAGCAACCGAACGAGGAACAGTTTTTAACAGAATTGTACAAATAAAATTTTCATAGTCGTATTGCCTAAAATTTTAATTTTAATTGATTTTCTGTATTACTAATTTAACTTACTTTATTTGATTAAGACAATATTCAGCAGGAGTCTGCGATTTTATAAACCTCTGCGTATTTGTATGTATAATATTTTTCCTTGAAAATAAACAAGATTTCTTAATATTGTTCATAATTATTCTATTTTTTAAAATCATCCATTGGTGTTTTAAATTTTTAACCTACGGATTTAGGGACTTTAGGGCGTTTGACATATCAGGGTGTCAAAGTGCACAACCTGAATGCCAGGGTTGGAAATTACGTATTTTAATGTCGTTTATCTACGAAGTATAAATATAGTTACTTACGTATAAAACACTACATAATTTACTACACTATTCATAGATATAGAAAACACAATCTATCTTTATTAGGAATGGGCGTGTAATAAATTAAAATGTAAAAAACTAGTTGGGTACTTATAAAAAGTATGAAGATCGTAGTTTTTACGTGGTCTTATTACGTTCTATGAAAGTCTTGAAAAACTAGAGTGAAAAACCTATTAAAACGTGAAAAACTTATCGGTATGATTTGGAGTATTTGTACAAACAGGAAAAAAAATTCCATCCTTGATTTTTTGACTTGAATTTGTCAATTTTTTTTTTGCTGTCAAACTTGTCTAATTCCCAATAGTCATCATTTGTTCACTATCTGTGGTGTTTTTGTATTTGTGATTTGGTATTTTTATTTAAAAAAAATGCCGAGCCAAGAAGTAACAACTAGTAAAGTGGTAGTACACCCCTTAGTTTTATTAAGTGTGGTGGACCATTTTAATCGGATGGGAAAAATTGGTAATCAAAAACGTGTTGTGGGTGTTTTATTAGGCTGTTGGAGAGCTAAAGGTGTTTTGGATGTATCGAATAGCTTTGCAGGTTGGTCATACGATTTTGAAAAGAATTTGTTTAATATAATTAAATATTTTTAGTTCCTTTTGATGAGGACGAAAGAGATAAATCTGTATGGTTCTTAGATCATGACTATCTAGAAAATATGTATGGAATGTTTAAAAAAGTTAATGCTAGAGAAAGAGTGGTTGGGTGGTATCATACAGGACCTAAGCTCCATCAAAATGATATTGCTATCAATGAACTTGTTAGAAGATATTGCCCTAATTCTGTTCTTGTAATAATTGATGCTAAGCCAAAGGACCTTGGGTTACCTACCGAAGCTTATCAGGCTGTGGAAGAAGTCCATGATGATGGATCACCTACTTCAAAAACTTTTGAACATGTGCCAAGTGAAATTGGCGCTGAAGAAGCTGAGGAAGTAGGAGTTGAACATTTATTGAGGGATATTAAGGATACTACAGTCGGTACTTTGTCACAACGAATTACCAATCAACTTTTGGGATTAAAAGGGTTATATTCTCAGTTAAGAGATATACGTGACTATTTAATTCAAGTTAGCGAAGAAAAACTTCCAATTAATCATCAAGTAATTTATCAGTTACAAGATATATTTAATCTCTTACCAGATATAAATCAGATGCAATTCAATAAATCTTTTTATGTAAAAAATAACGATCAAATGTTAGTCGTATACTTAGCAGCTTTAGTTCGGTCTATAGTTGCTTTACACAATCTAATAAATAATAAGTTAACAAACAGAGATGCTGAAGAAGGCAAAAAAGAGGACAAAAAAGATAAAGAAAAGGAAAAGGACAACAAAAAGGAAGAGAAGAAAAAGTAACTTATTTTAATTTTTCATTTATTAATTCATAAACTTAATATACATACTTTTTTGTAACTTAAATCTTAATAAAAGTGATTTTATTTATAAAATTGATTATTATATATAAATATAGAAGTCATAAATATTATGCTAAAAGACCCTACCTATCTGCACAATTATCCCTACTTTTGTTTAATAGTTTAAAAAATGTATTTCTATTGTTAAATATTAACTATAAAGAAAGATTTAAGGTTTTTTAATGTTACAAGTATCACTATAAGTGGTATATTTTTCATTCTAGTAACATGGTTACCACTATTTTTATATGTCCCATGTTTAGTATTGTTATAAGTAGCAAAATACCATGACATGTCATTATGTGTGAGATTATTCTTTAAAGTTGTATATTCGATAGTGTAGTTGGCTGTTTCTTCTTGAAGACTTATAAGAGGCTCATTTACTGTAGCTATAACTGGAGAATGAACTTTTGTAATTGTTGCCATTTTTTTAGGAGGTTGCTGACCTCCTGGTATTAAAAAAGCTGCTTGCGGCACAGAATTTCTTGGTGGCTTATCATTATCTGTTTTGAAAGAATTACTTGATTCTGTGTTTATGGCCAATTCTGGAATTTTTGTATTAATGACTTTTAAAACTGTTGTTTCATCTGCTGGATTTGTAGTTATTTCTTGTAAAAGTTCTGTTGTTGTTGAAACAACTAAGTTAATAGTGTTGTTATATGGATTTAGATTTAAATTATCAGTAGTATTTTGATGGGCTTTCAGTTCTTTGGTTGAAGATATCATTAATGGACTATCAGATCCTTTCTTGCTGAGAGTAGAATTTGAGTCTATTATCGAATTGGTTGTAGGTATATTTGTAGATATTTGATTATGTATTTTCTTTTCAATTCTCTTTTCAGTTGAGGTAGTGCTTAAGTTCAGCCTATTAGATTGTATAGGTGGGGGGTCTTTTAGTCTTATGCCTTCCAAATCCTGATGGCTAAAGATGTTTGTCATTGGGCTAAACCCACCTGTACCTGGTAAAATTGGTATAAAGCCACCTAAAAAATGATAATATTTCTGTAAAAAGTAACTAGTAGCAAGTATTCAGGGTCCGACAATAGCGCGTCGGGCATCTGTAGCTCCTAGAATAAAAAACTTGGAAATTTTGTTTAAGTGCTAACCTAAAGTATGTACTAGGATGTATTTCAGGAAAATATTTTAACTTCTACAGGGTGGCTCAAAAAAGTGTAAGTGGATCGGGATGATTTTTTTTTAATGGAACACCCTCTGTATATTATTGCATTTTTGGCTTCCTTTCAGTTCACTTTACATAATACTATGATATGAGTAGATATATTTCGATAGTTCCAGAGATATTAATATAAGTAAATATAAAAAATATATATTTTTCAGCCATTCTTAAAAAAAAATATTAAAAATACGAGAACTGTCCTGAAATCAAAACTATATTATGTATTTACGTAGATGATCTGTATTTATTTTGCTATAAATATCGTAATCTTAAATCATACGAGATGTTCTACGTCATTAAACTTTCTAAAATATAAAATAAATTTTCTTCGTTTTTTTAAATGGGACACACTGTATATTATTTTTTTAGTAAATGGAGAATTAAAAAAATGAACATTTTTTGTATTTAGAGTATTTCAACATTTTTAGCGGTTTCGCGGCTTTTTATTTCATATGGCATTTTCCATAGTAAACTTTTATCAAAGGACATATAGGACATATCGTCCCATTGCTGCCAAAAGTCACTAACTTACTTTTTATTACTTCCGAGAAAAATGCGTCTAAAGATGAATTGCATTGCATAAAGATGTTATAGTTATAGTAACTATTCGGTATTAAAATAAAACATAAATAGCCAGAAATCGTAGTTAATGACTTTTGCAATCGATTCTCCGCTTCAAAACATAGTTAGTGATTGAATTTGGTTGTTTGGAAAAATGTTAGTTAGTGACTTTTGGCAACAATAGGACGATATGAAATAATAATGTCGCCAGTATCTGCGAAGCCGTTAAAAATTTTGAAACACTCTAAATACAAAACATGTTCATTTTTTAATTCTCAATCTATTCAAAGAATAATATACAGAATGTTCCATTTAAAATAACGAAAAAAAAATATATTTTAGAAAGTTTGGCGTAGAATTTTGAACACCCTGTATGATGTATGTTAAGATTACGATATTTATATAGCAAAGTATGTACAGACCATCTAAATTAAACAGCTAATATAGTTTTGATTTTAGGACAGTTCTTGTATTTTTAATAATAATTATTTTAAAAAAAGTTGAAAAATTTTTTTTTATTTATTTATTCATATCTCTGAAACTATCAAAACTTATTTAAAAATATCTTAAGATTATGTAAAGTGATCAGAAAGGAAGCCAAAAATGTAATAATATACAGGGTGTTCCATATAAGAAAAATTATCTTGATCCACTCACACTTTTTGAGTCACCCTGTAGAGGTTAAATTGTTTTCCTGAAATACATCCTAACACATACTTTAGGTCTGGACTTAAACAAAATTACTAAGTTTTTGATTTTAGACAGATGCCCGCATTATTGCCGTACCTTCTGTATATGGATGTTATACCAAGAGCTACAAATAATTTTTAAGGTGGCGAGACTTCCCGTTATTACGGAAAAATATTTAACCCACCTAGGTTAAATATTTTTTAAAAAAATATTACAATGGCTGATTATACTTCTGATGGAAAATGATAATATTCTACATACAGTTGACTTGTTGACTATACAGGGTGTTTCAAAACAAATGCGAAAAACTTTAGGGGGTGATTCCTTGTTCAAAATAAAGGGTAGTTTGCTTTATAAACGTTGGGTCAAAAGTCAACCATTAGGGAGATATCGCGGTACAAAGATGGCGGAAAAATAATGTTTTTATATTTTATCTTGAAAACGAAAAGAGATAGACTAATGAAATTTTATGGAAGCATTACTGATATGAAAACACACTTTCAGGTAATTTTTTTACTTTTTTAAAATGAGTGGAAGGGGTTGAAATAAACTACCCATATCATTCTTGTTAACGAAATTTAAAGAAAAATTTTATCAAACACATGCAAATGCTTTAATTTGGATAGTTTAGTTTGTTTAGTAACTTTTTTACCTCTTGTGTTTTTTTGATAAAGCTCACCGATTAGAAATTAAAAAATAAAATGTAAAGCATTACATGTCAGGACAAAAAACATTTTTAGATTAAGAATCTAGTGATAATAACGATAATAATAATCATCTAGATAATAACGTATTGCAGTAGAGTAATGTCAAATAAAATAATATTAGGAACATCCTAAAAAGTAACAGAGGCCGACTAGATTTTTTCCTAAAAAAATTACAGCAGCCCATAGATTCTTTATCAGAAAATTTTTTTTGTCCTGACATGTAATGCTTTACATTTTATTTTTTAATTTCAAATCGGTGAGTTTTATCAAAAAAATACCAGAGATAAAAAAGTTTCTAAACAAACTAAACTATCCAAATTAATTTTTTTGCATGTGATTGATAAGATGTTTCTTTAAATTTTGTTAACAAGAATGATAGGGGTAGTTTATTTCAACCCCTTCCGCTCATTTTAAAAAAGTAAAAAAATTACCAGAAAGTGTATTTTCATAACAGTAATGCTTCCATAAAATTTTATTAGTCTATCTCTTTTCGTTTTCAAGATAAAAAATAAAAACATTATTTTTCCGCCATCTTTGTACCGCAATATCTCCCTAATGGTTGACTTTTGACCCAACGTTTATGAAGCAAACTACCCTTTATTTTGAACAAGGAATCACCCCTTGAAGTTTTTCGCATTTGTTTTGAAACACCCTGTATACAGATAAGGATATAAACATAGAAAAGTCGATATAAACACCGCTGACTTTGCCTAACTAATATTAACCGCTGAAAATTTTGCTCAGAGGCTGACCATGACTGTGCATAGTAGTGATGGGCATTACGATTCTTTTTAGTGAACCGAATCACACGATTCAATTTCTCATATTGAATCGACTCCTACGATTCGTTCATTTGCACGAACACAGTTGCACATGCACAATTTGCGTTTCATAAAAACAGTCGTAACTGGCACTACCGGCGATAATTTCATCGGAATATTACTTAAGGGGCCAGGAAAAGAAATATACAGTTCTTTCATTTGTTTTTCAAAATATTGCAAATGTAATAGATAATGCATGTAACAAAATGATGTTGCTTGTGATTTAATTGGGCTTCGAGTTTACAAATTTATTTAATAATATGGAAAAAACGGTGTACGCACATGCCCAAAAATTATGAAAGTAAAAATAAATAAATAAAAAGACAGACGTGTGTAAGTATACAGGGTTGTTCACCACATACGGCACGGAATATTGTAGCTAAACGATTAGATTTTTACAAATTGTAAGTTTTGGGTTCGTTGAAGGACTATTAGAGCTACAATTTAAAAATATTTTTACAAGATACAGAGTGTCCCAAATAAATAAAAAATATCAAAGTTGCATTTTTTTAAATGGAACACCCTGTATATTATTGCATTTTTAGTTTCTATGATTAAAATAAAGGTAAATTTGATTAAGGTTTATTATACTTAAACCCTACCGTTTTTGAAATATTTTTCAATTTTGTAAAAATGCAGTATAATAAATTTAAGGCTTCATTTCTCCGAGGGTATCAAAGTTTTTAATACTAAATATTTACTGAAGTTTATTTATTGATCAGTTATTGTGTTGCAATAATAAAAATTTTACTACCTAATACAGAGTGTCTAAATATTTATTTTAAATAATTATTAGCTTTAAATGGCAATAACTTGTTTAATTTAAACGGAACACTCTGTATATTTTATGAGAATCAGATGCACAATTTAATTGTCTATCAAATTGTATTATACCATTTTTTACCTATCTCTTCAAGCTTCCGTAGAAAATGCATTTTCTTGTAATTTAGAACTCATTTATCAATATATCCATGGAATACTGACATTTTAGATTATTTTTAAAGATGTACCAAATTTTTAAAGAGAACAGATACTAATATTGTCAATAAGTTCGTTTATTTCATTAAAAAAAAAAACTGTGTAAATATTTGTTAAAGAGGACCAATTAATATGATTCCAGTATTCAAACTACATTAATTGACTGTTTGCGTTGGTTAATAATAATTGCTCCAAATACTAAAAAACTGAATCATTTATGTGTTATATTAGACAGTGTGGTAAAAAAAACTAATACCTTAAAAATGATATTTAATTTTTTGACAAATGCTTATTTATAACAGAGACGATCATTTTTATAACTTATTATTATATTGATTTCTGATTCAAATCCACATTTATTTAGAATAATTTATTAACGAACACAATTAAGTATATAATTAATTAGTATTTGGGCGGAAATACTGGTGGTATATTTAATTAATGGTATACTCTTTTATAAAGATTTAAATAGTTTTCTTTTTCATACAAATGGGCTAGTAATATCATCGTTTTACTAAAAACGATAATATTACTAGCCTGTACATTTTGTACATTTGTTGTTTTAAAAACAATCTAAAATGTCAATATTCCATGGGTATATTTATAAATGAGGTCTAAATTTTAAGAAAATGCATTTTCTACGAAAACTTGAAGAGATAGGTAAAAAGTGGAATAATACAATTTGATAGACAATTAAATTGTGCATCTAATTCTCATAAAATATACCGGGTATTCCATTTAAATTAAACAAGTTATTGCCGTTTAAAGCTAGTAATTATTTAAAATACATTTTTAGACACTCTGTATAAGGTAGTATAATTTTTGTTATTGCAACACAATAACTGATCAATAAATAAACTTCAGTAAATATTTAGTATTAAAAACTTTGATACCCTCGGAGAAATGAAGCCTTAAAATTTATACTGCAATTTTACAAAATTCAACTTTTTCAAAAACGCTAAGGTTTAAGTGTATTAAACCTTAATCAAATTTACCTTTATTTTAATCGTAGAAACTAAAAATGCAATAATATACAGGGTGTTCCATTTAAAAAAATACAACTTTGATATTTTTTATTTATTTGGGACACTCTGTATCTTGTAAAAATATTTTTAAATTGTAGCTCTTATAGTCCTTCAACGAACCCAAAACTTACAATTTGTAAAAATCTAATCATTTGGCTACAATACTCCGTGTCGTATGTGGTGAACAACCCTGTATAGTTGTTATTATTGGTATTGTGATTATTTTTTATTTTTTTTTTACATATATCCATATTTGTCAAAATATTTTGTTTATTATTAATTTACATGAGGTATAATTAGTCAAATTTCCAAATTTCTCTGGGGGGTGCCCAGCAGTACCTGGGGTGGCCTCGGCACCCAATCGTCATTAACGCCAATGGCGCTGGTAATAAGCGCTTATAACCAGCTTTCTTTGTATCCGTACTCTTCGCGTGATTTAATTTCGTCGGTGTCGACCGCTGTTCTGTGTGGTGATGCCAAATCTGATTTTCCCTTAGTTTAGAGCAAAAATAATTATATTGATTAATTATTTATTAATTACTCGTATTCTCATTTTATTATTTTGCTAATTTTTGCATGGTAAATAGCTTATTACATACGGCAAGCATACTAGCCCGCAGTGACTAGGGCACTTTGCGCAACTTTTCCTTTCGTGAATAATATGGTTTTTACAACACTTATTACGTAATATAGGTAGTATTATCCCACTATTACCTGTTTCCAAACTAGGTAAATTGGGAGGAGCCTTTTGTAATCTAGCTATTTCACTCATAATATCTTGTTGCCTGTTGACGATGCCAAGTCGATCATTTATTTTAATTGGGGGAATTGGTATTGCATTATCGTTTCTAATGTCTTGTTTAAATAATGGACCAAAATTGGGTAATGGGAGTCCGAAAAACGTAAATCCACTGCTGCTGGGAGAGTTGCTTACTTCTCTGGGAATTTCCTTTTCATTTATAATCTGCTTGGCCTTTGAAGCTTAAACAAAAAATAGGTAAATTAATCATATCTATAATAACGGATGTTTGGGAAAAGTGGCTCACCTCTATAACTTTTTTTTTGGGCATTGTTAGTCTATGGCATAAATCAGGATTGATTATCGTATTCAATTAGTTTCGCTTACCGTTATTTATTGCTCACTTTCCTATTTCACCGTAAATTATTACAATTTTTGATTTTTAATGGTAACGTATTTCTGAAATCAATTGAAAATTGAGACACTTCCACTTGTCCAGACGATGCCGATAATGGCGCCGACAAAGACAGTGCCGAAATGAAGAGCCCAAACCTATTCCAATTGACTTCAGAAAAACTATACCCTGGGTATATTTGTTAATTTCTTTGATAGAGAATGATATTCTCTTTAAAAAATAATATTTTTTTTTGTCTGAAAAATAAAAAATTGGCGCCGGGAGGCGCGTATAGCCGCCCATACTTGATATTTTTTTTATCTCAAAAACTGCGACTTTGACTGATTTTGATGTTATTACAAATTTTGTTGCAAATATTATTCCTAATCTTAAATTGAAAACCGCGTTTCGCTAGCTACTGGAATTTTGGAGTTACGATTTTTTAAAATTTTTAACCCCCTCCCATACCCCCTTACCAACCCCCCACCCCCACCAAAAACTAATGAATCTAAAAAATAGAATAATATACAGGGTGTTCTATTTAAAAAAAATACAACTATAATATTTTTTACCTATTTGGGACACTCTGTATCTTGGTTTTGATATTATCGTTAAATTACAGCTCTAATAGTCAGACAGACACCCCAAAAATTACAATTTGTAATTATAATCATTAATTTATTAAATTACTCATTTAAATAATTAAATTTTTTTTGCCGAATAGCCTCTACCATACCTGTCGGTATGGTCGGCTAAAAAGTTATAGAGGTGAGTCACTTTTGAAAAAAAATTATGGGAAGTGTGAAAACTACCTCCACCCTTACATAAATTTTACTAGAAATGTTTTCCAACTTCACCGACGACCGATTTTTTCCCCTAAAATGGTCCTCCTAGTATTTACTACATTTCTTGTCTCTTGTAAAAAAAACACCACCGCTTATCACATACAAGGCCGGATTTCCGCCTAGGCCTGCAAGGCCCGGGCCTAGGAGCCCAGCCAGCCTAGGGGCCGCATGCAATGAGTGGCGCGCAACTTTTATATATAAGCTCCAAATTGGCTATGACATGGGGGGCCGTAAATGTCAAGTGCCTAGGGGCCCTGGATATCTAAGTCCGGCACTGATCACATATGATCTTTGATAATAAGATTCATTCAATTTTAAATTAATAAACGTTAGGGTTTATTTTCGATTGATGCGCTCTAAACAAAGCACTTTTGTATAGAGGCAAATTGTATGCAATTTCTATCTTCACGGTATATTGGAACTCCCTATATATATTTTGTAAATCCTCTTTGAAAAAAAATATTCTCCAAAAATTGTTTTCTCAAAAAGTGTGTAATGTGGCGTTTTTCTACAAGAGATAAAAAATGTCATAAATAGGTACTAGAAGGATAGTTTTACGAAAAAAAAAAATCAGTTGTCGTTGGAGTTGGGAAATACTTCTCCTAAAATCTATCAAGGGGTAGGGGTAGTTTTCGCCTTTCCCGTACTTTTTTTATGGTAGTCAAATTTTAAAGCGCTTAGCAAAACATAGGCACCTAAAATCTGATTTAAATCGGAATATATCGGTTCTTTAAATATCTTAAAAATGTGTTTATTTTTTCCTAGATTTTTTTAAAGTTTCATGCATGCCCTAGACACTCAATGGTAATTTTATAGAACTCCAAATTTAGTTTCTTCCGCATTGCCAGACGGCGCAAAACACATTAAAGTACAGGTTTCTAATTTATATATGAAGATGACATGACAGTCCCTATGTTGACTATTGTCTGTGGTCTAGTTCTTGTCTTGTTGACATGTTGACAAAATGTTGGTGATCCGTCAAGTTATTTTTAAATCAATATTTTGATCATTATTTAAATAATTATTAATTCAGATATTCCTGATTTATCGGAAAGTTCGGTGATTTCAGTGATTTGTGTTTATAGTTTGTGTTTTTATTAGTTTGTGCATTCTGATATTTAGAGTCGATCATCATTTTCGTGTTAGATACTAAACTTTTTTATTAAAGTCATTTTGACATTTTAGAAATAATAATTTATAAACCAAATAAAAAAATAGTTTAATCATAAATAAGTAAGTACATAGTTGGTAATATATAGTATTTTTAGTAACAGTTAATTAGTAGTCTATAATATTTTTACTATATTATAATTTAGTTGTTAAATCAAAAAAAAATAGGCGATATGTGATCTATTGTTGGTGTTTAAAATGTATGTATTTATAATTTTAATTTTGTTGTAATTATGTTACACTTCTAATGATCTAATAAAACATAAAATGCAGTAAAAAAGTCTATATTTATTATTTTATATTTTACAAGGAATAATTTTGTGCTTGAATAACGTTACCGTTTTAATTAGCGTTAATAAGTAACGGAACGCTAAAATTATGTTATGCCAAAACTCTTCATTAGTTTCTTCCGGATCACTAGGTGGCTCTAAATGACGGACCCATATGTTTTATATCAGTGTCCAATCTATCTCTAGTACGTGACATTAGTCTATGGTTTCATGCCCTCTAACGGACAAACGAAGCGCTTTTGTATAGTGGCAAATTGTCTAATGAACTTACTTTGGTTAAAAATACGTAGATGTTCTATTTGGGCACCCTGTATAATGAATATGTACCATTGCGATAAAAAAAAGTAGTACAAGAATTAGTAGTAGTCCCAGATAGAACTCCTGGTCTATAAGGATATCGAGAAGTGGATATCGTCGAACAATACAATTATGCCACCTAACTTTTTAGGCGTTACTACTTTGAAGGAGCATATCAAAAATCTTAGGTACACCGCGATGGGCCTCAAATATGGCCGACTTAAATTCCGGTTTATCAGTGTCGTTCTAATTTTATTTAAAAAATGTTAAACTATGATGTAGGGTAGACGTGGGGTAGACTCAATAATTTGTTGTTTTATTTTACGTTGTGAATAAATGTTGGTAGTTATTAAAATTGTTATAAAAATATATAATTCTAATAAAAATAGATAAGTTATAATAAGTATTTATTAACACAAACATCCGATACGCTACTGAAGCAGGTAAGTCAAATTAACGTATCTAAAATTTTTTGACATCTAATCTTTGACAAGTAATAAATAAAAGCTAAAATGCAAGAAAAATATATAATTTAGTTAATTTAAGTGAATTTCATAAATGATCGGTTTACTACACGTATGTATATTATATAGTCACTTACTAGCGCAAAGTTGTTCCATTATTTCACTCAATTTTTGCCGAGATCTACCGCACGCTACACAACCAACTATTTTAGAGTCTTTTTCGATAAATTGCGATAGTGTCACTGTTAATTTAAGTTCTGCCACAATTTCCATCTAGATTTACTACCTTTATACAACTATCAGTAGTAGAATAAGTAATAAATAACATAAAATAAGCTCCGTAAAGACTGACAAATCCACAAAATTTCAAATCAAATTCAAATGTGTCAAATGAATCGTCAAACACAACTGTCAAGGATCCCCACCCTAGAGTGCTTTTTCCGCCCACCATGCATGAATACATGGATAGCATTATGCTCCTTCCTTAGTCTTCTTATTCAAAGCGTTACCATGAATTTGGTAATAATTGATAGGTATACGTGGCGAAATAAAAGTATACAAAATTTACCTACCTTTCAAAAATGGGCAATTTTTCAAGTTTTTTTTTTTAATTTTATTATAGACCAGCAGATTAAATCATATTTTGGTGTACTACTGTTTTTTGATAGCAATGGTACTTAAATATAGCGAAACGAAACAAACATGATCAAAGTTACAGGCAAATTTATAAAAAACAGGACTTTAAGATCATTTCCACAACAGCTAGTTTATATATAGGTTGTTAATTTGTTCATTACTCGCGGCAAGAGCTTTATGGTTGAAATATTGCAACCTCGGCCCGCTCGTCGATAGACGACGGCGACGCGACGGGACGAGTCAGCAGAAAACCCTATAAGTGCATGCGTTCTCAATAGGCAGTGTTGCCATTCTGTTCCCCTATAAGTAACTGTCCAGTTAACAACCTGTATAAGATATTGAACTTATTGTGGTGTTTAATAAGTCTCTTAACCTATCTACCAGGTGTTTATACTTACCAACATTTCTCGCCGTATTTGAGTCGACAACATTTGCACCGGTTCCATTATCAGGATAATCAACGTAGTCATCATAAAAGTATTCAGATTCTTCAGGTAATGGTGGGATATTATTTTTATTGCCTGAATTATTGTTATTTCTTAAATTCATCCATTGAGTAGAAACCTGGAATAAAAAATAGATTTGTCATGTGGAGCAATATGGTCATGTTTTTTCATTTCTTTTTTAACAATTGTAAAATCGTATTTTATTTATTGATTGATAATTTTAGAAGTCTTTTATAATACATATATTGTGAAAGAAATATATAGTAAACGCTTCGTCTATAGCGTTGCCAACTGTCAGTGTTAGCGTCCCGCCTAATGTTTAATTAATTTTTTTTTTCACAGTGCAACCTCTTCTAAGCTACATAGGTTAAAACTTTCTTTCAAGGTTCGCAGTTCCAGTGTAATAACTTGAACACATACCTGTAGTACTTTATTTCTTTTTTATATTTTTACAGGTTTTATATACAGGATTGCTGATATGTATGAGAACGATCGATTATTAAGTAAAATATACAAGGTACCGCAAAAAGTTAAACGCAAAAGTTTTTAAATGTTTAGTAGCTAGTAGTAAATTTAAGTATACAGGGTCGGTCATAAAGTTGTGGCACATCAAAATTTAGTTATTTTTTAAATGCAACCCCCCGTATATTATTGCATATTTCAATTCTTCCTCCAATTTTAAGCAATAATAAATCGTAATACACATAATATACCTAAATTCGACCATTTCCGAATTATTAAGCTTTGATTATGAAATGTTAAACGAAAATTTTGTATTTTCCAGACTTGATATAATCTCATTTTATACATCTATAAATGCTAACTTGAAAACTAATGTCAAATAATATTAAGTATCACAAATTCCGCAGAATGGCATCGTTAAATAAAACCGAACACATCGAAATTAATTAAATCTGTGGCGTCCAAGCCATTGCCGCCTCCAACGGTATCAGGCCCGGAGGTTCGACGGCGCAAACAGCTACTCCAACCTCGAGAAGTTTTCTCTTGCCGGTCATGAAGGCCAAGTCTACAGAGAAAAGAAGAACCGAGCGACAGTCCGCGCTGTCATCCGTCAACGAAGCCACTGAAGAGAGTCTCAGTCAGTTAGTCAAGATGGCCGCCGGTTAGTCCGATTGTGCTCCTTCGTTTTTGTTAAATTTCAGTCCAATTTATATTAATGTTAAATAAAAGTTGTTAGAACACGCGCCTCATTTCAATACGACCACGCCTAGTTATCTCCAAATTGGTGACCCCGCGAACCCGCGAGTGCAATGCTACCGCCACTTTATTCCTAAAGTGGTGACCCCGCAAACTCGCGAGTGCAATACTACCGCCACCTTTATTCCTAAAGTGGTGACGCCGCGACTTCGCGAGTGCAGTTTCCGCATCCAGCGAGTGCAAGATTCAGAAAAATTGGTGAGTGCACGTGCGTCGTTTTCCAAGGCCACGCTCATGTCAACAGTGTCAAATGCCAATTCTTCCTCTTTGGTAAACACCACTGGCCCTAGCTACCACAGGTACTAACTGCCATATCCCACCCCTGGCGCCAACTGCCAGAGCCATCCGAACCAAGCAACAGCTGCCACAGGCGTCTGCCGCCACAGTTGTCCGAAACGCATATCAGGCATGGAGAACTCTCCGCCAGATCCTCCGGCCGGACTCGAGGACATCCCAGCTACCACGCAGCCAGCCTCTGTCCCCGGCTCTCCTCAAGAGGTGACCGCAATAGGTCAGTGCAAATTGCCACCCTTTCTGGCGAACAAGCCCGGAACTCTGGTTCTTCCAGGTGGAAAGCCAGTTCCAGGTACACCACGTTCGGAGCGATATTACAAAATATCACCTGGTCGTAGCCACCCTAGACCACGATACTATATCAGACGTCTCTGATATAATCAGAACCCCACCACTTGTTGACAGATACACAGCCCTCAAAGGAGCAATCCTAGCTCGTCTGACTGACTCTCCCGACGCGCAACTCCACAAGCTCCTCACTGGCGTGGAGCTTGGAGACAAAAGACCATCACAACTACTCCGCCACATGCGTTCTTTGGCCGGAACCCGTGTCAGTGACGACGTGTTGAGAGTGAAATGGCTCGACCTCCTGCCACAGCCCACCCGCCGCATGTTACTCTTGATAAAAGGACAAACATTGGAGGAGCTCGCTGCAGTGGCTGACGAAGCTCACGACATGGGACCTTCCGTCATGGCCACATCCCACCGGAACAACAATCCGTCCACAACAGCACCAAGCAACACAGTGCCAGTTCAAACAGAAGACAGGATCGCCCAAGAGCTGTCTGCACTACGCTTAGCTATCAACCAGCTGACCACGCTCACCCGCAACGCTGCACAAGGCTCATCAGAGGACAACCCTCACAGGGGACGGTCCAGCAATCGCCAGCAACAGCAGCACAACAGGGAACGCTCAGCAACACCTGGTCCCAACTCCAACACAGGCCACTGTTGGTACCATACCAAGTTTGGTACTCTCGCCGTGCGGTGCAAGAAGCCTTGCACCTTCGAGGCACAACCTGCATCCGCGCAGGGAAACTGAACGCGCCGGCGTTGCACGCGGCGACAGCCGCCGGCACCATCTCGGAATGCCGCCTCTACGTGATGGACCGAAGCAGTTCCATCCGATTCCTGGTAGATTCTGGTTCTGTTCTTTCCATCATTCCAAAGAAGACCATCGCTAGACCACTTCATAGGCAAAGTTTGGTTCTCCAAGCAGCCAACGGTACGCCTATTCACACGTTCGGAACACAAAGCCTCACGCTGAACCTAGGCCTACGCCGTCCATTCCAATGGTCTTTCATCATCGCAGATGTACAAGTGGCCATCCTCGGAGCCGACGCTCTCAAGCACCACGGCTTGCTAGTCGACCTCCGCAGCCGCCGCTTACTTGACGGTCTCACCAGTCTTTCCACAGTCTGCACATTGGGTCCCACGCCCAACATCCACTCCGTCAATGTGCCCGCAACACCTGCACCATCGTATCCAGAAGGCATTCTCGGTGAAACGTACAAGAATCTCATAGAGAGTTTTTCTCAAACAACAGCTGTCCCTGGAGACATGGCTTTCGTCCCAGACCTACCTGTACACCACCAGATCATCACCAGTAGCACACCAGTCTTTTCACGGCCGCGACGCCTCATCGGGGAACGCCTCGAAGCAGCCAAGCGTGAATTTGACTCCCTGCTGGAACGACGCGTCATCCGTCCATCTTCAAGCCAATGGGCCAGCCCCTTACACATGGTTCCAAAACCTGGAGGAGGTTGGCGCGCCACCGGAGACTACAGACAGCTAAACACCTGTACACTTCCTGATCGATATCCTCTACCGATCATAGAAGACCTACTGCAGGACTCTCCAGGCCAGATTTTCTCGATCATCGACCTCCACCGAGCTTTCTACCAGATACCGGTTGCACCAGAAGACATCAAGAAGACCGCTGTTACCACGCCTTTTGGTCTTTTCGAATTCGTAGGAATGCCACTAGGTCTCAAAAACGCAGCGCAAACGATGCAACGTACCATGAACCACATCCTCAGAAAACTGGACTTCGTTCGTGTGTATCAGGACGACATACTTGTTTTCTCCGACAACCACGATCAACATCAACATCACCTCACTCAACTTCTGACCATCCTGCGTGAAGCCAGGCTTCAACCAAACTGGTCTAAATGTCAAATTGCTTTACCAGAAGTAATTTTCGCAGGCTACTTGGTGTCTAAAGAGGGTTTCCGTCCTCCAGCGCCTAAGACGCAAGCCATCCTAGATTTTCCAAAGCCCGACGACTCCACACAACTCAGAAGATTCCTTGGTATGGTAAACTACTACCGGCGTTGTATCCCGCACGCCGCTGAGTTACAATCACCTTTAACCGAGCTGTTAAAAGGTTCCACTGCCAAGAAATCGACACTCAACTGGACTCCTGAAGCCGACGCCGCTTTCGAGTCTTGCAAGAAGGGAATTGCATCAGCTACGACCTCTGCCTTCCTTTCGCAAACCAAGCCGTTAGCTCTACGCACGGACGCTTCCAGCACAGCTATCGGCGCAGCACTCGACCAACAACGTTCTGATGGATCATGGAACCCCCTAGGATTCTTCTCCAGGAAACTTTCACCAACAGAGCAGCGTTATTCAACATACGACCGCGAACTCCTGGCAGTCTTCGCGGCCATCAAACACTTCCAGCGCATCCTGGAAGGAAGACATTTCACCATCTTCACAGACCATCGTCCACTCACGTTCGCGCTAGCGCAACGATCTGACAAGGCATCACCTCGCCAATGCAGGCAGTTGGATTTTGTTGCGCAGTTCGACACCAAGTTTGAGTACACACCAGGGGACAAGAATGTTGTTGCTGATGCTCTCTCGCGCATAGAAACCATCTCTATGCCAGCCACACTGACCTCCGAGAAAATCAGCACAGAACAAACCTCTGACAGGCAGCTTCCTCATCTTTTAGCCAATCCACGGTTAAACCTACAACGCAGCAACATCGACGGTCACAGCATAGTCTATTGCAGTTCCAATAACACTATCAAACCGTACCTCCCAGTTGCCCTGCGTCAACAAGCCTTTGACAGCTTTCACCAGCTCTCACACCCAAGCGGACGAGCCACAGCCAAGCGCCTGGCGCTGAAGTACTTCTGGCCAAGTCTCCGCAAGGACGTGTATCGCTGGGCCAAGCAGTGCGTTCCTTGTCAGCAATCCAAAGTGAATCGTCACAATCGTGCCGAACTCGGAAACTTCACCACACCAGACGCTCGCTTTGACCACATACACGTGGACCTGATCAAGCTCACACTATCCGAAGGTTTCGAACACTGCCTCACAATCATCGACCGCTACACCCGTTGGCCCGTAGCAGTCCCAGTTCCAGACACCAAAGCTCCCACAATAGCTCGAGCTCTCATTGACAGATGGATAGCTACCTTCGGCACACCACTGACAATCACCTCAGACCAAGGACGTCAGTTCGAAGCTGATCTTTTCGCCCAGCTCAGCCAACTTGTTGGAGCCAAGCACATACACACAACTCCGTATCACCCACAGGCAAACGGCATGGTGGAACGCATGCACCGCACCCTAAAAGCAGCTCTCAAGTGCTCT